ATATATGTATATATATAGAGAGAGAGATAATATTTTAAAGGGCCGTTATTCTAAAGGGTTTAAAAGATGACTCTAACTTTCCTGCCACTTGCAGAAAGGAATTTTGCTCTCCGGATTTTTACCACCCAATTTGAGGCGATGCAGTTCAGAGCCAGGAGCCAGACATAAAGAACCATTTATTACAAAATTAATCAAAAGCGCCTTTCATCAGAGTATTTTCAGCTTCTGTCATCAAAAAAACTGACCTCCTCCCCACTATTTTTGTTTTTTTTCTTTCCATCTGACATTTGTTCTGTGGGCTCAGTCAAGGGCCGTTTATATTACCATGCAGATAGGACTCGAGGGCTATTTTCCCTAAGCTCCTGGATTTATTTTCAACTACATTTCTTTTGGTATGAAATTATCATTGACATCCATGAGACTGGCCTCAGCTATTTGAAAGTCCTCTCCTCCCTCCATAGTCACATCCCTCCATGAAAACCGTCCTGTACCAAAAAGAGCACGATATCAGTTATTTTCAGAATCAGATACACAACTCATTTCTTCAACTTAATAGTCCGTTAATAATTCTTTCACACACAGGCACACAAACATACAAACCTGCATTATACCAATTCAGATGCAAGCAAGAAATCAAAGCATTTATCAATGAATCAAGCTGCTTCTCCTATTAGAAGAGAAAAAATGAGACATTTTTTCCCTATTTCAAATACTAAAGAGCATTGTGGTGGGGTCATACATGAGCAGACATAGGATTTTGAAAAGGGAGGTATACATGGTGTGGTGCATTCTCACATATAATGCAACACACATTTTTCTCCAGGTAAAAAGAAGTGAAAAGCCTTACTAAAAATGCTGAGGACCTAGGGCTTTGTTATTCAGTTTAAGATTGAAGTAAAAACAAATATAACTTTATGGGAATTTGCATTAATTTGCTATGTCATACACTGTGTATTCAAAATTAGGCACAACATATTAAAAGATGTAGTCTCTTTAGTCCTGTTGTCATTAGAATTAAATGTACATCTCTTCTATACTCATAAAACAAAATCAAGCCTTCTTGAGCATCTTGACAGGTCATCTAATGCTTCACTGAGTTACTGGAATGTTCACACCTGCATTAAGGTTCACCTCTAACAGACTCTGTTACTGTTTCCAGAACTAAGTTAATGGTTTTAGCTAGCGTTCAAAGTAGCTTGCAGGGCTGTGAAATAGGAGCTATGTTGCAAGGAGTAGCTAACCGACAGCAGAACTGCAGAAGAAAGAATCGCTTGATTAGTTGACTGTTAAGACCATTAAAAGAGGAGAGAGGGTCGTTAATGCCTGTGGAATGAAGAGTTTAGAAGGAATCTGGTACATTATAATAAAACATGAAGTCAGGTGCCTCTTTGAATTCTGCCTGAATAGAAATGCCACTGCCAGGCACTTGGTAGACCAGACGCCAAAGGGGGTACAACTGCAACACTTTGCCTCCCCAGCCCCCAGATCTGCCCCTAGGATCTTGGCAATGTAGCCTGGGATTTAATTGCCTGTGAATGGCTATAAGCATACTGAGTAATATAACTGGACTGCGTACTTCCCTCGCAGAGTGAGACAAAGGTCTTCCTTGTTCAAGGAAGGGTCAATGGAATAGAGAATTCCTCTGGAGTCTTAGCGTGAATGAGATTTGTGTTAATGGTTCCTATCTGAGAGCTTCTGTGTTACTCCCTTCCTGAAACTTTAAACTAATATATGCCCCTTCCAGGATTTCTCTTTTGGCTCCCCCAAGACCCTCGGCCCTACTTTATCAGACCAGACCCAATTTTCAGGCTTCCACTGCTGCCATCTTAGTTCCCAAGGCAGACCTCTCATTTCATAGTTTCTAGGGTCGGAAGGGACCTGAGCAGATCATCTAGTCCGACCCCCTGCCATGGCAGGAAGAGCACTGGGGTCAAATGACCCCAATAAGGTGGTCATCCAACCTCCTCTTAAAAACCCCCAGGGTGGGAGCCTGCACCACCTCACATGGAAGCTGGTTCCAGACCCTAGCCGCCCTGACCGTGAAGTAGCGCCTCCTGATGTCCAACTTAAACCTTCCCTCCGCCAGCTTGTGACCATTGTTCCTGGTCACTCCTTGCGGCGCTCGGGGGAACAGGGACTCC